TATAAATTTTTTAAATAAATTTTATTTAATTAATTTTATAGGATAAAATCTAAATGTCTATACTTTTTTATGTAAATACAATAGGTTCTCATAAGTTTTTTTCTCTTGTAATTAAAAAATTTCTTAATTCCTGATATTTTAAAATCTTAATAAATCAACACTTCTTGTTATTTATCGAGCTAATTCTAAAGCATAAATAAAGTTTGATATATTTATTGAATAAATAAAAGATTTAGATTATTATTTTCAAACAATAGAAAGGAAGATTTTACTTCTTGTTAACAATGCTGAATCTCATTTTAATCCAAAAATTTTTGAAGAGAATAATATTATCAAAAATAAATCTAATATAAGGAAGGATCTAATTATGAAAATCAAAGAATAAAACAAAAAAACAAAAAAAAAACAAAAAAAAAATCTGATATTACTCTTATAAATATTAAACTTGTTTACCTTTTACCAGATACTATCATGTATTTGCAATCTATAGATATTAGTATTATCTATAGCTTTAAAGCAAAGTATAAACTAGAGTTTTGTAAAAATTTAATTTGTAAATTTGATTCTAGAATAAATCATATAAAGTAAGTTATAAAAATTTATGATTATTTTTTTTATTTTAATAAAATATAATAAATTAATTTTATTTATTTATTTATTTAGTAATAAGTTAAATGTTAAAGAAGTAATAGATTATATTGCTGAGGCTTAGAATAATGTTACTCTAATTACTATTCAAAATTGTTGGATGAAAATGGGTATACTTTCGTCTGATAATAAATTTATTGATGATAATATAAGAAAGCAAGATAATGAGAAAATTGCTTGTCTTCTTAATACTTTGCTAGATGTAGAAGGAATATAAGAATATTTTCAAATAATTGATTAAAAACATATTAACTGAGAAATTTTTTACTAATGAACAAATAGTTAATATGACATTAACTAAAGAAAAAAAAGAAAGTGATATTAAAAAAGAGGAAGAAGTTCCTCCTGTTTTAGTTAACAAAGTTATTAATAGGTTAAAAACATTTATAAATTATTTTGAATAGCAAGATAATTTTATGTATAATATTAAAGATTTAAAAATATTTTGAAAGTATTTACAGGTAGCCAAAATAGAAGATTTTAATTCTAAAAAAACAAAGTACTATTGATATATATGAAAGATAAATTTATAATAATAATTTTAATAATTAGTAGTTATGATAGTTAGTAAAGAGATTATAGTTAATAATCTAATTTTATTAAAATAAAGGGTTTGTATTGCAAATTTATATGAGTTTTTCACGTTCACATTTGTGTAAGGCAAAAAAGTATAAATTAAAGCTGAGATTATTGGATGAGTGATTAAAAGATAGAGAGGGAAAATATAATTATTTTTTAAAAAAAAGTATTTTTGCAATATTATTTTCGTAATAATTAATTAATTTAAATAGATTTAATTTATTAAAAATTTTTTCAAAAAACTTTTTTTTTAATAAAAATTTATATAAGATGTGAATTAAAATAAAATGGTAATAAATTAAATAAATTTTTATTTGATCATTTAATTAATATAATAAATTACTTGAAATTTGGTATTAAAAATCAGTAAACTTTATTAAATAAAAAATTAATTTTTCACATAAAACTAATGGTTTTACTCAATCTGATCAGTTTGATCTTTAAGCCAATCCTAGTCTTATATCAAAAAAAGAAAGAAGAATATAAGAATTTAGAAATTTTTAAATAAACAAAAGAATAAAACAAAATAAGAAAATAAAACTTACCATAACTGTCTAGAATCTAGATCTGAAAAGCTAAAAGAAACATCAAAAAAAAGAAAGTAAACAAAAGATTAAAGTGAAGTAAGAAAATAAACTTACCACTTTAAATACAGCTGAAGAATCCAAAAATCTAAAAAAAAGAAGAAAATGGTTAATTCAATAACTAAGCGAAAGAAAAATGAAGTAAGAAGAAAGTAACGAACTACATATCTTGCATCTTGAATCTAGTCGAAGAGTTTAAAGATCTAAAAAAAAAAGAAATTGGTTGATTTAACAACTAATTGAAAAGAGAATGAAGCAAAAAAAAATGTAACTTACTGTTTTAGATCCAGCCAAAATGTTGAAAAATCTAAAAAAAAAGAAAGAAATTAGTTAATTTAACAATCAAGTAAAAAAGAATTAAGCAAAAAAGAAAGTAATAAACTACTCACCTTATACCTTAAATTCAACCGAAGAGCTCAAAGATCTAAAAAAAAGAAGAAATTGATTAATAACTAAGCAAAAAAAATAAAGCAAAGAAGAAAATAATGAACTACCTACCTTACACCTTAGATCCAGCTAAAGAGTCCAAAGATCTAAAAAAAGAAAAAATTGGTTGATTTAATAACTAAGCAAAAGGAAAATAAAGTAAAGAAGAAAGTAATAAACTATACACTTTACATTTTGGATCTAGCCAAAGAGCTTAAAGATCTAAAAAAAGAAATTAGTTGATTTAATAACCAAGTGAAAGGAGAACAAAGCAAAAAAAGAAAATAACAAAGTAAAGAAAAAAGTAATGAACTATCTACCTTGCATTTTGAATTTAGCCAAAAAGTCTAAAGATCTAGAAAAAGAAGAAATTAGTTGATTTGATAACCAAGTGAAAGGAAAATGAAGTAAAGAAGAAAGTAACAAACTATTTATATTGTATCTTAGATCTAGCTAAAGAATCTAAAGATCTAAAAAAGAAATTGGTTAATTTAATAACCAATTAAAAAGAGAATGAAGCAAAAAAAAAATGTAACTTACTGCTTTAAATCCAGCTAAAGTGTTAAAAAATCTAAAAAAAAAGAAAGAAATTAGTTAATTTAACAATTAAGCAAAAGAAGAATAAAGCAAAGAAGAAAAGAAATGAAACTTACTAGTTTGGATCTAGCTGAAGTATCAAAAAATCTAAAAAAAAATTGGTTATTAATAAATAAAATAATGATAAACTATAGATAAACTATAGATATAATAAATGTAATAAAATAAATACAATATTAATACCAGTAATTTTAATTTTTGAAATTACATAATCACATATAAGCATACCTTTATATAATTATACTATAAGGTGTTCCTGAAAGGTGTGATTATAAAGAGGGTCGATTATATACACTTTTTGTCATTAAATATTATTGCATATCTATAGTCATGTAATGTAAAAATTATTAAATCTTTTAAAATTATAAGTTCATTAATATTTTATTAATTTAAAACAAAGTTTACAATGTAGATTTTTTAATAATCCAGACATAAAATCAAAAATTACTTGTTAGAAATAGGAGTGAAATATATGAAATTTATAAGAATTGAGAAAAAGATCACTTTACTAAACGTTTATGATACTATTAATTTTAGTAATAATACTTAGAATTCTGTAAATCAGCAAACAATTTTTAATTGTTAATAGTATACAGAAATTTTTTCATATGATAAAATAAATAATAAAATCAAAGATTATGATAATAATCAAGCAATTTTAGATGAAATAAAAATGTAAGAACTAATTTACTAACTTCTATTTGATGATCATATGGATGTAACAAATTTTTTTTAAATTAATAATAACTTAAAAAATAATAAAGAATTAACTAAAATGATTATATTTATAGTAAAATCTAAGAATAATAAACTAGAAATAAATATAAATAAAGAATCTTTAGAAGTGATTTCAAATAAAAAGCTTTAGGTTATTTAAAAGATCTTATTTTATATTTTGAATGTACATCTAATACATCAATTAATTTAAATGAATTAAATATCTTGAAAAAATTAAAACATTAAGTATTGACATTATACATTAATAATATAAAGCAATTATATTAGATAACTTTATTAAATAATACATATTATAATCCTAATATTATTATAATGATATAATATAATAATAAATTTTGATTGTTATACCAATTTTTATATATAGTATTTTTAAATAATTCAGTAATGATATTGATTAACATAATATAATAATATAGGTATATAAAAATTTCATTTAATACTGATAATTCTATATACTGATATTTTTTATCAAAACTAAAGCATCAGTATATAGAGATTTGACTGTATTCACATTACTATATATTTAACCATTATAATCAATTTTGACTTTTATAATTAATTTTGACTTTTAATTTCAACTATAACCTTAAAGTAAAAATATTTCAATTTTTGAATTTTAATTTCAGTTTCAAATATATTATATTTTATGAATAAACTCCCTCTTCTCCCTATAAAATGATATCATTTTGACCCTTTTCTTAGATGACTTGTAAAACCTTTAAGTTTTATCTAGCAATTTTAATTATTACTTTATAATAAAAAAATCTTTTAAATTAATTTATATTTTAATTTTTACATAAATTTAGATATAAATTTTTTTAATTTTAGATTATAATAAAAGAATAAATTAAAATTATTTATATAAGTATTCTAAAGGTTAATTAACAATTATCAAATATTTTTTTATTATATAATCTAAAAAAAACTATAAAATTATTAATTATAATTTATATTAACATTTTAATATTCAAATTTTTTTTATATATATAAGTTTTTATTTTAAGTATTTTTTGTTTTTAATGTTTTATAAAAAAATTGTTTTTTTGTTTAAGAAATGAGAATAAAAGAATCAATGATAATAATACAATTGAAAAAAAAAAAAAAATCAAAATATTTATAAAGAAATTCTTTTTAAAATCATCAAAAGAAAAGAAAAAAATTTTTTTTTTTTTGATTTTTTTTTTTTTTTTTTTTTGATGATGCAATGTTAAAAGATACAATCAAAACTGTTATCATACATACATACAAATAAAAACTATATATAAAAAAAACTGTGTACATCTTTTTTTCAAACCAACCATATTTACAACAATTTATACCATTTTTTTGGTTTTGTTTTTCATAAAATAAACCCAAAATAAACACGTGATTTTTTGGATAGAGAAAAAATATATATAAATAAAAAAGTAACCATGATATTTATGGGTCTTATTGTCGATTTCTCTCTAAAGAACCACCCCCAGCTGTGACTTCATTAGCTACTTTCTTTGCCAATGCCATGCGGAAATCTTCTATTCCATCCATATTTCCTATTAATATAGAATTGCTATTACCTACACTATTTCGAGTTCCAGGCGCACTCGCACTAGATCCCATGCTACTCGATGAAGAAGCACTTGCACTACGTTGCATTAATGCGGCAGGTTTTGGTAGCAATGGAGGAGGAGTCGCTGAACGTGGCTCCTCTAATGATCTACGCGTTGAAATTCCAGGTGCATAAGTAAAAGGCTTTGCACCAGGAGAATTAGCCGAAGTAGTACGTCCATGAGCTTTCATAAAAGTAGCTGTGGGACTTTTTGGTACCAGTTCAATACTAGATGAACTTCGAGAATGGGATGCTGCACGCATCATAGCAGTGGGACTTTTAGGAGTTTCAGTGGCTTCGTAACTGCCAAACATTACTCTCATAGTTCTCCAACTAGTTCTTTTATTACTAGATATTGGAGTTGGCATTATAATTGTTGGTTCTGCATGAATTCTGGAAAGTTCAACCTTACAAATTGTTTCTGCATTGTCTTTCTCCTTTTCACACTCACTAAATTTATTTTTCTCTTCCTTTTCTTTTTCATCACGTGCTTTATCCATACTACTACGTGATCCAAAGAAAAAATTTCCAACCTTTTCTGTAATGTTCCTTTTTTCCTTTTCTTTTTCTTTAACATTGCAAACTTCTTTATCTGATATGGGCCCAGCCCTATCCAATTTAGATGTGATTGATGCCGTGGGTGCTGCATCAACTCCTTCTTCCAAACTATGAGGACGCGAATCTCCGCTACCACTTGTTGAACTAGCTCTCCCTATTCCACTACTAGTACTAGCATTCTCCCCAGTACTCGTACCGCTTCCACCAACAGTGCTTCCCGTACTACCACGATATGCACTGCTAGCATTTGATATTATACTGTTTGGAGTCCCACTCCACGAAGCTGTTCCGGATGCTCGACAGCCATTTTTGTACTTATGTGGCTCACGCATTAGGCTCAATTCATCCACACTTTTTTCTGGAATCCATACCCTTGTTAATAGATAATGTGTTATTAACTGTTGCTTTTCTTCAATAGATTCTTCTTCTTCTTCACTCCTATGATTATATTTATAACCACTGCTACGATGAAGAGCTGCACTAATGCTTGCAGTGCGAAAATGTTTGGTCGATGCTTTTATGTATGTTACAGGTGGAATAGGTTGATATTTAGGTCCATGTTGATATCTCATCATAGTTTGTAATAATTCTTGTACACGAGGATCTTCCTGTAAAGATTGCATTGCTCCAGGAGAAGTTAAAGTTATCATTGATGTTGTAGAACGAGGAGTTGTTGGTACATGATTGATATTATTATTAGACGATGATACTGAATTTGATGAACCTGCAGATTTAACAGCAGCCAATAAATAGGTAGCATCCATAATAAATGTTCCTAAAAATGGTATAGTAGGCTTCCTTAAGAAACCTTCTCGTTGTATGGTCTCTCGATACTTTCCATAATTTCTCGTTTCACTCATCATATCACACAATGCTTCTAACCTTACCATACTCTTTTTCGGAATACAAGCCCATGTTCTTTTTAATCTTTTTATTGGTGGTGTTCCCAATGCAGCAAGGATTGCCTTTAAGGTTTGGAAATTGTGTAATTCGTGTAACTTAACGGCTACTTTAACCCAGTGGTTTATAATTTGTGCACGTGAGGAAGCCTCTAAGGGTAATAAAATAGAACGTTCTACAACCCTTGTGAGATAGTTAAAAAAGTCCGTTGAGGCAGTGATTTTTGAGTCAGGACTCTTTGCGGAATGTGTAAGAAGGGTCGTTGGATCTATTTCCAAAAAGATTGCAGATTCAATTAAAGTTAATTGATACGCAATCATATGAGGAGCGAATTCTAAAATATCCGGATCTGCGGCAGCTTTATAAACTAATTTACGAGATCTTGTTATTGTTTGTTTTAGACCAGCAACTGTAGTTCCATACTTCTCAATCGCCTCATTAATTTCCTCATCTGGAAGTTCTGTCCGTGATAACTCGTCGGAGTCAGACTCTGAATTACCAGCTTCTCTCTTTTTAGATATGGCACGATATTCTGCCAATTTTGTTTCTAATGTTTGAATTTTTTGTTCCAATTGAGTATGTTGAGTTATCAAAGGTGACGCTGGAATTTCAGGCACATGATAAGAATATTGTGATGAAGAAGGTGAACTTGGTGATTGAGCATTTTCGCTTTCAGTCGATACGATAGCAGGTACCAAATTATTTGGATCAACAGCACCTTCAGGAATAACACTGATCATTTTTGGACGTTGTTCAAATAAATTTGGCATTGACACTGGAACAGCTATTGCTCCATAAAATGAGGCAGGGGTTGTAGGGGATGTTAAATGTGAAGAATAGGGACTCTCCTCATCCGTTGGAGAATCTGTTATAGAACCTGTTATCGAACCTGTTATCGAACCTGTTAGGGTAGGCCGCCTTCTAGATGTTGTCACAACACGGCCAGGAGATGAAGAGCGTCGACGAAGTAATGTTTGTGGAATTGCAACATCTAAAGATGACTCTGATCTACGAAGATACGAACCTATAAAAAAAGTGTTAAAAATACATAATAAATCATAAATTAAACATGTGATTAAGCCGTACCGTTTCTTTCAACATAATCATCATCATCATCATCGTCCGAATCAGAACTATCCGCATCGTCATCCTCACCTTCGCCGGAAACAACATGCGCATCCCTACCACTGCCGGAAACCTCTATATCTACTAAATATTTTTTCATGCTAGCAGTTCGTACGGGTTTTGGCGGTAATGGAGGCTTTAAGGCCGGTGGTTCATTTTTGGGGTAATTTGACGACGATCCATCTTCGCCTACTTTATTAAAAGATCTGCGCATTGGTTTCGGCGGTATTGGAGGAGCTCTGTGTGGTGATAAATTGTGTGGATGTTCCTCTTGTTGTGGTGTCGGTGGAAATATCGCTATATTGAGATTTGGATTTCTTCGTGGTATGGGTGGAGTTTGATGTTTGACTATGATATCTTCAGCATATGATAGGCATGTTCGAGATAAAGCAAAAATTGAAGATAGAGACGCCGGTTTTGATGTTACAACTATAAGATTACACGATCCAATTTATAAAATATAGAAAAGATAGTTTAGTTACCATTGGCCACTTTAAAAACAAATTTCTTTTTCTGTTTTTTTTTTCATTGGAGAAATTTCTCTCTAAGATTTTAAACAAACGGATCCTTTAACCGGTTTTGGACGACCGTTCAAGAATTAATAAAATTTAAATTCTTACCATTATTTACAAATTTGATGCTATGTAGCTCCCTTGTTACTACATCCAGTGCACTTATATATGAAAAGTAGGCATCCTGAATACATTGCGCAAAAGATAATCAAATCAGACACAAAAATTAAGATCAAAGAATGTTAAATAATAGATGTAGGTATAAATATCAATTTTATTTTTATTTTATTATATATATTTTTTTTTTGTTTATGTAAAAAAAACAAATCACCTTTACATTTCCAGAAGATAAATAATCAGTGGCATCTTTCAAAAGTTCTTGTATATTATCCATAACTCTAACTTTCGTACAACTTATTTTAAATAATTTGCAACTATTCACAATTTGGTCGGAACCGCCACCTAAGCCCGTAATGCTTTCTTTCAAATTTTTGTCGTTATAATATTGTAATGTTGCTTTTTGTTGAAAGTAAACACTTTTTTAGTTTTATAAGTACGGGACAAGAAAATAAAATAAGAAACGATAAACTTAAATGGTACATGTAAAGCTTGATGATCTTGTTAAATCAAACAAATGTCATTATCGTTACAGCAAAAAAAAAAAAGTTTGGGTAAAAATATTTTCAATGATATCTTTGTCCTAATGTTTGTTAATTTGAATTTATTTTTTTTTTATATACCGGGTGAAACTTAATAGATTACACCCAAAAGAAAAATTATTTACAAGATGGAGTAAGAAAATATAAATTGGCTGGTTGAAGAACAACAAATAGTTCGGGAATATGAATATAATGAAACAAATAAAACAAGCGATGGTCTTGTAGTGCAATGGTGGTCTCGATGTCCTTACGTCATACAAGGATGATAAGCTTCGGAGGATACTTGATTTATTAAAATCGAGAAGAGTCGACTCAAACACCTTACTTAAAAAAAGATCACCAAATTCGGGCTACAAATATGTACAAGCGTTAATTAAAATTACAAAATTTGCTTCGTTACTTTATTTGGTACATGTCATGTGATTTCCATAAAAGGATTGATTTTAAAAAAACATTTTCAATTCATTTTTTTTTTTTTTTTCCTAATTCCTTTATCATGGGAGTTAAAGGTTTATGGAAACTAATTTCGCCTGTAGGCCGAAATGTTAAGCTTGAGTCTTTGAATAATAAAAGACTCGCGATCGATATCCTTTACTTAGAAATTTCGTGTGAACAATTTACAAGAATGTGTTTTTATTTTTATCCTTAATAAAATAATTACATGCTAGCATCTGGTTATATCAATTCTTAACTGCAATGCGTGATAAAGAAGGGAATGGACTAAAAAATGCACATTTATTGGGCTTTTTTAGAAGGATATGTAAACTTTTATTTTATAATATCAAACCAGTATTTGTGTTTGATGGTGGTGCTCCAGAATTGAAACGTTTGACTTTGGTTTGTTTCAGTTCTACTTTATTATTTTCTTGTTTATAATAAACTTTCAACTAAAAGTAATATGGCCCATTTATTATGGATGTAGAATGAACGTCGTAAGAGACGAACCGGTAATGCCAATAATCTGCAAAAGACTGCGGAAAAACTTTTGTCAGCTCAGTTGAGACTTCATGCTGTTCAGGAATCAAAGTAAGATAATGTTATTTGAAAAGAAAATATATGTCAATTAATTTTTTTAAAGAGATCTTATTTAATTATCGATATAATTTTTCAAAAAATAGAGGATCGTGTAAAAAAGTAATAACTGACGATTTTAATGAAAACAAAATGAGTAACACGAGTCCGGAAAGACTCTTTAGTCGAAGAAAGCGAGATGAATATGATTTACCTTCCATATCGGGAGGAATCGAGTAAATATGATCAAAATTCGACAATAAATAAATAAATAAATATATATAAATATTACTAATTTATATTATTTTATAGAGCCATGGTCACTAAAGATGATCCTCGTCTTGCAACTGAAGATGATCTCAAAAATTTTATTAGAGAATATAATAAGGCTTGTAAAAACAAAATAATGATATTTTGGCGGAAATAAGTCATTATCAATTGAATTTGAAATTATTTTTGTTATTAAATAATAGCCTGAGGAAATAGATATTGACTCTGAAGCATTTAGATCCCTTCCTTTAGAAACACGATATGAAATCTTAGAAGAGCTTCGAAACAAAAGTCGACGAACATCTTGGGATCGATTTCATGAGATTTTCGGCAGTGCTCAAATATCCTTTTAATTTAATTTTATACTCATACTATTATTTATTATTTTATTTTTTCTTAATTATTTTATCATGTATACACCGCCATGGATTTTTCACAACTTCAAATAAAATATCTAGTGAAAAGAAATAATCTAACACAAAAATTAATTGATGTTACAAGCAATGATACAGACCCAAATAACACAACACCAAAACGCATAGTATCAGAACGTAATAAAAAATATGTATTGATAAAAAACAAGGAAGGAAGTACGGGGTGGACAATGAGTTCTGTAGATGAAAATAAACACGAGAACAATGATAAGCAAGGTCATACGGTTGAAAGGCCGGTTTATATGGAAAGTTCAGAGATTGATGATAAAAATTCATTAGTAAATGGAGAGGATAATGAATTTGAAGAACTTGAATTGCCTAAGTAAGATATAGAATGAAAGCATCTTCATTATTTACTTTGAACCTTTAATAATAAAACGGTTTGTTTGTTCGGAAGGTCAGCTCTATCTTTTGACAATTGTGAATATCAAGAATATAAAGGTAATAATTTAAGTTAAAAGATAATTTTATCGGTCGTAATTTTTTAACCTTTTTAATTATTATTACAGAACACACGCCAATAACAAGCGATGATTGGAATAGCTTACTTTTGGATAAAAATGCTTATGTTGAAGATAATGAAAGCATTGAATCGGTTATCAAAAAATTCAAAAGACTGGAGTCTGAATCATTTAAAATGTCACCAAATAAACTCAATGATGATGTTTCATCATTATCAATAAACTACGATGATATTGATACGTTTATGTCAATGGAACCAGATGAATTCTTTGCTTTTTGGCTTTCGCAGATGTCACCAGATTTTCAGAAGGAATATAACGATCATGATGAAATGCTTCATAAAGCTATTTATGTTTGGGATGAAGATGAATTAGAACAGCAAAAGAAATCTGTCACAAAAAAATTAGGAAAATTAAGAGAGTCTGATGAGCAAAAGGCGAATGCTTTAAATTTCTGGCAAAATTTCTTGAAGGTTACAGCTGAATTTCGCAGGATAAATTCTGACATTAATCAAAATAAGGATGAACTTAATGATAAACAAGATCTTGAAATTGAAATGTCAGATAGTCCTATGGATTTAAAAGAACAAAAATATAAAGAGATATGTATGAGAGAAACAAATCACCTAATACAAAAGGTTGTGCATACAATAAAAAAAATTAATATCAATTTTGAATCATTACTCTTGCCGGTTAATCATGTATCTTCTTATCACACTTCAACTCTCGACGTGCCTTTAGAAGATAGAGAAACCGTTGCAGGTAAAATTTGATTTTAATACACTGAAACATTTCTTATTTGATGTTACAATATTTTATATATTTTCATCATAAAAGAAATTAGTGATTTCGAAGAAGTTGAATTACCAACAAACCCTATCGATTCTGGTTATCAATCTACAAAAATTAATCCGCAATTGATGGCAACTTCAAATATTAGTGTAGAATTTTCCGATACAGAATGTGATAGTCAAACGAATGTGTTGATAGATACATTAGAAGTTGAGGACATAAACAATATATCCAAAGATAAATATATCAAAATTTCTTCTGACGAAGATGAAGAATGTAGTTATGCAGAAAAATTCGAACCGGCGAGTAACAGTTCTGATGATGAGATTCCAAAACAACTCACAGAAGAAGAATCAGAATTTGCTAGGTTTTTATCAGAGTTGAAGAAAAAGGATTTGAATTCAATACAACAAGAATTGAATACTGAAGTTCAGCAACTAAACGAGCAACGAAAACGAGAAAAACGAGATGCTGATAGCGTGACACAAACAATGATAAGTGAATGCCAAGTACGTTTAATAGAATTTCATCTAATGTTTCATTTCAATGATATTATTTAATATTATTGCCTTAATTCTCTCGATATTACGATAGAAACTCTTGCAATTATTTGGTATTCCATATATCATAGCACCAATGGAAGCTGAAGCACAATGTGCCGAATTGCTTCGTCTCGAACTTGTGGATGGAATCGTTACTGATGATAGTGATGTCTTTTTGTTTGGAGGAACGCGGGTATACAAGAACATGTTCAATCAACAAAAATATGTTGAACTTTACCTTTTACAAGATTTAGAACAACACATGGGAATAAATCGTGAAAAGTTGATTCATTTAGCTATACTCTTAGGAAGCGATTATACAGAAGGTCTACCTGGTATCGGAGTTGTTAGCGCCATAGAAATATTAAATGAATTTCCTGGTGAAAAAGGTTTAGAGCATTTTAGAGATTGGTGGCTGGACGTTCAAAATGGAACGAGTGGACCAGAAAATAATGAGAGTGATTTCAAAAAGAAATTTGTTAGTATATATTGTATGTTAATGATACATTATTTATGTGTATAAATATGTGTCAATATATAATAATATCATTAATTCATATAACAGCGTAAGAAGATGAAAGCTTTATTATTATCAAAGAACTTCCCAAATCACCGTATATGGGACGCTTATTATAGACCACTAGTTGATGATTCAAAAGTTCAATTTCAATGGACCATTCCAAATTTAGATGACCTTCGAGAGTATGTATTACCTTTTTTTTTTCAAAAAATGTTTTATTATTATTAAAATGATAACTATTAAATTAGATTCATAACTTTTTAAGCTTTTTGATGGAAAATTTTTCATGGACACATGAGAAAGTCGATGAAACACTTGTACCACTTATGAAAACTTTTGTTAAGAAGAAGGTAAATGAACTACGCGTTACATTGTTAATAAGTTAATATATTCTTAATTATTAAGTAATTATTTATTGTAAATAGTCAGAGGAAAGTAACCAAATAACTCTGGATGGTTTTTTTGCTTATCCGATAAGCAGTAGTAAGTCACATCAAAGTACGAGAATACAGCGCATTGTGGATTCTTGGAAAAGTGGTGAAACTTATGATAATGAAAGTCGAAGTAATGATGGTAATGAATCGTCTCAAAGACGGAAGAAGCGATCTCAAAAAAAATCAATCGATGTTATTACCATTGACTCATCAAGTAATTCAGAGCAAGAGACCATTCATAAAAAAAGGAAAAGACAAAAAACCAAGAAAAGGTCTTCAAAATAATAAACCTTAGTTTTGTACTGAAAAATCGCGCGTGACAAAATTTAATAAACCACAGCCTCGTTACTTACAAAGCCTAATTACTAAGCTACAAAACTTTTTGATCAAACTTCCAAAGCCCCGATCTATCCGAAAGGCTATGTATGGCATAGACATTGCTAAAGCGGCCCTTGTGGCCATGCAATATTCCAAGAATTGGAATATTCCCGTAATTTTTTTTTAATGTGTGACAGATTGCTCCAAAAGTCCATTTACTTATAATTTAATAATTTTATTAATAAGGTTAATTAATAAATGTGGCGAGTAAACTATCTATAGATGTGGCAATCAAATATTTTTTTGTTAAAATAAAATTTTAATCGCGATTGATATTGTTTTCAAGCCAGAACATTCTTTTCTTAAAATGTGGCAAATATTTAAGGATACAATACATCATCCAAACTTATTATTTATATAATAACATGTCACATATTCTGAAACGGAAAAACCCCCAAAAAAAAATTTGCATCCCACAGCCTCTCGGGACGATAATTTCGTGTATATATATATATATATATATAAATATCAAAATATTTCTTAAAAAGTCCGTCACTTTTTTATCCTTTGAAACGAAAAATTAAATAAATTAAATAATAAATAAATAAATAAACACGATTTCATTTATAAAATCCAAACAATAATAAGTTTTATTGACCAAATAATAAGTTTCGCGTCCTTTTTGAATTTTATATAATGTCTCAAGGTGGGTATCCTCCTCCAGATCGACGACAGTATAGCGGTTACCCTCCAAGTTCAGAGCCAACACAGCAAGGTTACCCTCAATTTCCGGGCCAAGAACAACAACCACAGCAAGGTTATCCACCGACATTACCAACCGCGTCTTTTTTAAACACTGACCCATCTGCACAACCTTTGTTACCTTCAACTTCTACTAGTGGTGGTTCGGTTTCGTTTGCACCAGACCCAGAACAACTTTCAAAACATTATGGTCAAGCTCCTGTCCGTCAACCACGTCGTTACAAAACGACCAAACGTGTTGAACTTTTCCAAGGAAATTTAGTTTTAGATTGTCCTGTACCCACAAAGCTTTTACAAATTGTTCCTAGAAAGGATGATAGAGAATTCACTCATATGAGGTATACTGGTTGTACTTCCGACCCTGACAGCTTTAAGAAGGATCGATATACGCTTCGTCAACAACTTTATGATCCTCCTAGACCAACCGAGCTGTTCATTGTACTTACTATGTATAACGTAAGTATTGCATTAATGTAATAATACACGTTCGAGATGACGTTAAATCATCCGGACTTAAGATTAACTTTTATATATATCTTAACATTATAGGAAGATGAAGTTCTTTTTGCCCGTACTTTTCATGGTGTTGTAAAAAACATAGGTCATCTTTGTTCTCGTGATCGATCCCGTGTTTGGGGTAAAGATGGGTGGAAAAAAGTTGTAGTATGTATAGTATCTGATGGACGAAAAAAGATTAATCAACGTACTTTGTCTTATTTGGCTGCTATTGGTGTCTATCAAGATGGTGTAGCCAAAAACAAAGTTAACGAAAGAGATGTTACTGCTCACATTTTTGAATACACCACCCAAATTTCAATTGATCCTGATATGAAATTCGTGGGTGCTGATAAGGGTATTGTCCCTGTTCAAGTTCTCTTTTGTCTAAAGGAAAAAAACGCGAAAAAGATTAATTCCCATCGCTGGTTCTTTAACTCTTTTGGTCACATACTTAATCCAAATGTTTGTGTCCTCCTTGATGTTGGTACCAGACCTGGTGGCACCTCTATTTATCATTTGTGGAAGGCTTTCGATATCAATTCAAATGTTGCAGGTGCTTGTGGTGAAATTGTTGCTATGAAGGGTAAAGGTGGTGTGAATTTGTTAAATCCCATGGTAGCATCTCAAAATTTTGAATACAAAATGTCAAATATCTTGGATAAACCCCTTGAATCTGTCTTTGGATATATCACTGTGCTACCAGGTGCCTTCTCAGCTTATCGTTTCATTGCTCTACAGAATGATCAAAACGGAAATGGTCCATTAGCTTCTTATTTTATGGGTGAGGCTCAACATGGTGGTGATGCTGATATTTTCACCGCCAATATGTATCTCGCCGAGGATCGTATTCTTTGTTTTGAATTAGTAGCGAAGCGTAATTGTTCTTGGGTTTTGCATTATGTGAAATCTGCTTATGCTGAAACCGATGTACCAGACACTGTTCCTGAATTGATTTCACAAAGACGACGTTGGTTGAATGGATCCTTCTTCGCCGGTGTTTATGCTATTTGTCATACTTTTGCCATTTGGAGAAGTGACCATTCCGCCATTCGTAAAGTCTTATTACACGTTGAAATGTTTTACCAAGCTTACAATTTATTATTTTCTTGGTTCGCTTTGGTAATCTTATATTCAAATACATATCTCGTTCCGTGATATATCTTATTTATTATTTTAAATAATATTAATCTTTTTTTTTAATAAAAAAAAAATTTAGGGTAATTTCTATTTAACTTTTTATATTTTGGGTAATTCTCTCTCACAAGAAGATGTTGTTGAAGGTCTTTGGAGTGTGACAGTCGGGGAAATTATATTCCAAATATTACGATATGTTTTTTTGACACTGCTAATTATTCAGTTTATTCTTGCTATGGGTAATCGACCTCAAGGGTATTTATATATATATATATATTTTTAATAAATGTTCCACTATATCAAGATAACACCAATCAATTAATTCCAATTAATTCATACTTTAAACATTTCTAGGTCAAAATGGGCATATATATTTTCAATAGCATTCTTTGCGGGTCTTATGATTTATATGTTGTTTGCGGCTTTTTGGCTCACTTATAAAGGAGTTTCGATTCAGATGGGAATTCTTGAAAATGAGAATCAAATTACCGGAAATAATGTTAACACAGCTAGTGCTATAATTAACGATTCAACTTTCCGGAACATTATTCTTTCCGTTATTTCAACTTACGGGTTATATTTTACAGCCAGTTTTTTATTCTTTGAACCTTGGCATATGTTTTCAAGTTTTATACAATATTTGTTATTGGTTCCATTCTATATTAATATTTTGAACGTTTACGCATTTTGTAATGTACACGATGTCAGGTAGTTATCTCCTTTTTTATTTTTTATTTTTTATTTTTAAAAAAAAGCATATGTTAATTTATTATTATTATATAGCTGGGGAACTAAAGGTGACACGTCAGTAAAACAAGATTTGGGTACGGTAAATACCACAGGGGGGAAAGGTGAAGTTGAAATTGAGGTTCCAGTTGAACAAAAAGATATTAACTCCGCATATGAGGAAGCATGTGGCGAATTATCGCGTCGCCCGGAAGAAGTAGTTCAGCATCGTTCAAAATCCGAAAAACAAGATGATTATTACAAGGCTTTCCGTACACAAGTCGTTTTATTCTGGATTCTTTCCAATGCCGCGTTAGTTGCTGGTATAACGAATGCTAGTAATTCAATAAATACAATCTTTGCAAAACAACACGAACGTAGCAATATTTATATGGCATTTGTACTTTGGTCTGTTGCTGGGTTAGCTGCTTTTAGATTTGTGGGTAGTTGTACATATTTATTGTTTAGATTGTTTACTGGTTAGTTAGATTTGCTTCATAAAAAGTATTATTTATTTAGAATAATATTTATTAATTAGATAGTATTTATGTAAAACAGATAATTAATGTTTAACAATTATAATTTAATTATAATAAAAAAAGCTATGGTGTATAAATCAATTTATCACGTTAGGTAGTTTTTATAAACATGATCTGCATTAGCCGAACGATATCTACGCCCACAGTTATTCCTCGTAGGATTTACTGTAAAGGAAAAACAGAAAAGTTGTAAAAAAAAAAAAAAAAAATCTTGTTCCGAAGCAAGTAATTATAATATTGAGTCTTGCCCAATGAATTCATTTTCTCCCCTGATTGACGAAAGATAAAAAACAAAATTTAGGTTACCCTACCTTGTTTTTTACTAGTTTTATTAGCGACAAAATATTTTTCTGGAAACTTTGTTTTCAGAGGTGGGATTTTATCTCTCGTAAATTTTCCAAATTGAAACTTTTGTGGAATTTAGAATTGCTAACAAATTATCAAATTCTTCAAAAGTCAAAACTAAACTTTTTGAATCACTTTAAGTTGTGGTATTTCTTTGTTTAGGATTGTTATATTTTAAATCTACTTTAAGTTGATCTATTTCGTCTTTTAGTTTGGTTTATCAATAATTTCGTGTTTTGTTTGTTTATAATTTATTTGTTTCCTCCATCTTACTTAAAAAGTGATTTTTACATAAAAGATTTAAAAATTATATCAACGTACCCGTATATATAATAAATAAATCATGCATCAGTGAAGCATCCTGTCAAAGTATAATTATGAAAGATACCGCGTTCCTCAACAATAATTTCCCAAAGAATTTTACATTGGGAATGTTGAAGAGCAACAAAATATTCTGGTCACAAAAAATATCAAGAATCTGATTAAATCCTAAGTTTTCTTTTAAAATTTAAAAATTTATAAATCTATATACAGTATATCTTAATTAATTGGGGTGATAATGGATAAAAATTCACTTTTTGATGAAATATTTAATTGCTTGTGGACATTCTTCTCGCTAAAAGGTTCTAAATCTTTAAATTTGAGTAATTTGGTGATTTATTAATATATAAGTAACACAATAACTTAAAAATATTCACCTCATTTTTTTGATATACTAAACAAAAATAAAATTTTAGAAAGAAATAGGAAGAAAGATTTAGTGTTATAAAGATGGGAAAATACATTGATTCTAATAAAAAACATGATTATTTTAGAAATCTAGAGTATAAGAGTCTCTTGATATAAAGTCTCGTAATAATGATGCTAAGACTCATATTAAATGGTTTAGGATTTTGTGTATTCCCTCTGTTTGATAGCGTTATATTCTATTGCTACCTATCATTTTTTGATTCTATATATATCTTAAAAATCCATCAAAAATTAGGCCGGGCAAAAAAGATTCTCGTGACAAAAATTTTAAATTTGACAGTCACCTGATTTTTTTATTTATATATTAAATTTTTTTTTATGTATTTTATTTATATTTTGTATTATATTTAAAGATTGTTAAATCAATCTTTAGATTTCTTTTTTTCTTAAAAAAAATTGCCAATAAACATTATACATATTATATTTAATTCTAAAACTGTTAATAAGAATATAAATATAGGAAAAATTTTTAAAGATGTAGTTTAAATAAAATATGATAAGAATACCAAGTATTAAATAATGAAAAAATCGCAAAAATAATGTTAAAATTTAATATATATAAATAAAGTATACGCTATTATAATTTCATTATATAAAGTCATGTAATAAAATATTTTACTATAAAAAATTCATAAATTTTGGAAAAATAAGATAAGTACATTATAAGAATCTAAAAATATTTTTTTGTTTAGGTTAAAGATAATCCCCATAATTATTTTCAAATTTCAATTGAGTTGCAACTTAATTGCGCCATAAGGAAATTTAATTACGTCACAAGTTGCAACTCAATTACACCATTTTTTTTAATTGCGGTAACCATCTTTAGCTTAGGTCTTAATTGTATTTGTTTTATTAGCTTTCAATATGTAAAATAACAATCAAAATTTTTTTTAATAAATGTAATTAATAATATAAATTATAATATACATATGATAAAATTCAACTTTACAAGTATATTATTTAAATCTTAAATCTTAAATTTTGAAAATATTTAAAGTTTCTTCAAAATTCTTTATTGTTAAATTAATTCAAAATTTTTTTCTCTTTTCTACCATTTCTATATTTTTCTTATTTTTTTCTTTCTTTATTTCTATTTGAAGATTAGCAGAATTATATAAATTTCTGTATTTTTAAAATTTACAAAATTCATAATATATTTAAAATTTAATATTAAGAAATTATTATACTATGTAATTTATGTAACTTCAATTTTATTGTTTATTTGTTTTGCTAATAATATATAAGTAGTTTTAAATTTATTAAATATATTTATATAATATATAATAAGCTGTTTATTTTGACTAAAATAATTAAATTAATTTATAAAATCAAACAAATTATGACATATTTAATAAAGTTACAAAAATATATATTACTTCACAAATATTAAACCAATTTTGATAAAAATTTAAAATATAAATAATATTGAATCTGCTAAATAACTTTTACTAGAAATAGAAAATGCTTTACTTTAATCAAAATGCTCAAATTTTATCATAAAATCCCTAAATAAAAAAAGATACTAAATATATATAAAAATCAAAATATATAAAAATAAAAAAAAGTTATTTCATTTACATTTAAAAGTTTTTATAAACTGATTTTAAGTATTTAAATAAAAATATTTTATAGATTATATTAAATAAAATAAAAGTATTTTTTTGTTAAAAAAAAAGAATAAAAATATAATAGTTCAAAAAAAAAAGATGATAAATTAATTATCAGTAATATTAACTGCAAAATTATAACCGATTATTTAATTATATATTTAATTAATTCATTATTAAATATAAAGAATTATGATACAAATTACTAAAAATGTATTAATAATATATTATTACTATATCTTTTTTATATTTTTACCTAATTAATAATTAGGTAGACTAAAATATTTAATCAATTGAATAGCAGCTAGATTTAGTTTAGATTACTTATCTTTAGAAGAGACTTTATATAAATCAGAATTTACAAAATTAAAAGCTATAACTGATGATGGGAGTTCAGGTAAAAATAATCTGAATAGTCTTAAAGTAGAACTTAAATCAGCATATGATGTATTAAAATATTTACAGAATGTTAAATAAAAACTTAAAGCACAGTTAAAACGGATAAAAAATACTTTAAAAAAAGTACAAATGGCATTTTCCAAAAGAGAAAAAGCTTTAGAAAACGTTTATAAATAATGCAAATGGCATTGAATAAAATATTAAAAGAATTCAATACAAAAAGTGTTACATCACAAAATAGAAGAAAAGAAAAAATTGAAAAATGCCACTAGAAATTTGAAAAGAAAAAGGAAAGCTAAAAAATGAAAAAAAAAAAAATGATACTCAAACTAGATTTGTTATTAGTATGTAATATATACGTATCTTTCTTTCTTTTTTTGCTATGTAAGGTTTAAGTTAGTTAATAATTTATTTATTTATTTATGTACTTATACTAGTTTTATTATTATAAAAATCTGTAATTATAAATTAAATCAATACGTCTGATATATTAAGATAACTCCATATAAAATTGTAACAACAAATAATCCGATGGTTTTTTAAAATAGATGACAATTTCGGAATTTTAGTAAAATATTTTCTTTCCGGATTTGATGTTTGTATTTTTTTTGCTTCCGTTACATTTTTTTCTTTCAAAATGTGTATGACGTGATTCAAGATTCACCCCTTATCATTCCACAAAAATGAAGTATTTGTGACATGTGATAGTTTCGAGAAGAGATTTTCGGAATTCTTCATTCATTGGAATCGCACGACCACCACACATGTGATGATTATTATTAATAAATAAAAAATTATCATAGCTTATACATGTTATTACAAAGAAAATCAGTGTTATTCAAATCATTATAGCATTAGTCATGAATCAGAAATCTGTGATCGTTGTTCCTTGGTGGAAAGTTGTATTTCGATCAAAAGTTCTAGCAGATAATTATCAACCATAAACATCAAAATTAATAGGTTCGGAGTAAGCAATTCCATTATAAATCACGTCACGCTTCTATTGGTTCAAAAACATAAACACTCCTTCGGCTTCTTCCGCGACCGCAAACAGGAATGGCATGATTTTTTTATTTATTTTTTCTTTTTTAAAAAAAGCTCCTATTCCTTTTTAAGTACACCGTTGTTAATTAACCGAATAAATTTCCAAAAAGAGGAATATGCTGACACGTCATATTTTAATCCATTGATGAATGGTAATTAAAATTTCGTTTCGACCATGATTTTTGTTATAAATACTAGGTAAGCGATTTTTTGATTTGATCCATAATTTTAAACATGATTATTTCACCAGAAAATTTACTTATCTGTTCTACGGTGGGAGAAGTATTTGCTATCAACAAAACAGACGGCACACAGGTATGGAATGCCAGGCTCTCGGGTGTAGGATACGGTGTTGGGGCATTATTTGTATCTGGTAGTAAAGTCTACGTTGGGATGAATGGCAATCTAGTCGCCCTGAATTTGGCTGATGGAGCAGAGGTTTGGAGAAACCCGTTATCGGGAATGAGATATAGCGAAGTATCAGTACTCGTCGCCAACACCAGCTCATCTAAAGGTTCTATCGTTTTAGTAGCTTCTTTCGGAAAATTATGTGGAATAGGATCAGAATTAGGAGAGACGCTTTGGAAAAACGAGCTGAAGGGTGGCTGTTATTACTTACCTTGTCTTATGTTGGATTCATCAGATCCTGATGTTGTACTGGTTGGATGTGGAAAACGAATATACAAGATCAATTTACTTGATGGACAAACGATTTGGAATCAAAAAATATCTTCAAACATATTTGGTCCACCCTACGTTACTATGGCCACTCATCAAAGTAGTTTGCAGGCCGCATTTACACATACAGGATTCAATAACAACCCTGTTGCTCAACATGCTAGAAGAATGAAAGACGAGAAAGATTCTCGTGAATAAGCTAATCTCAATTAATTATATATTATCACTTCTATCTAATATTTGTTTCCTTTTGTAATTGCATGATTTAAAGTATGATATGTTTAAAGTTTTAAAATATATACGTACAAAAAATCTAATCACCTCTTTAAAACGCAATACATTAGTTAATTCATTCTGACCATGTAATTGTATCATACAAAAATTTATTATACATTTTTTTTTTAAGTTGTCACGTATTCATTTAAAATTTTTCTAATAATATAAAGATCGTAAATTTTAAATATATTGTACATAAATTTAAATGGTTGATTGCAACACTTGTGACGAAAATTATCTCAATATACAATAAATATTTGTTACAATTCTCTCTCAAAGCAGTATAATGAACAAATCATGTCATTATGAGTCAACATTTGTTCTACTATATAGTCACCTCCTATATAGTCACTCCTCGATTCAACTTCAAGGATAGAGTGGATGTGATAATTAGAGTATATCATTCGTTATGATTTTGAGTTTAATGCTATTATTACATATCAATTTAACATAATTTTTATTATATCAAAAATAAAAATGCTTTTTTTAGTCTTTTACTTTTCCCTTCTTTTTTTTTAATCTTAATAATTAATAAGTTTTGGTTCTTTTTTCTTTCAGTTTTTTATTTTTTTTCTTTTTGATTTTAATTTTGGTTAATATATAAATCTTATTTTGTTTTTTAATTTTTTAGTTTTTGTATTAGTAATTTTTCTTACTTTATTTTTAAATTTTTTTCATTTTTCAATAAATATTTTCGTTGTTAAGTCTCTTTTTAATTGATATTTTTGTTTTAATTTCATCATATGTTTGTTTTTCAATTATATTTTATTTTGGTTTTATCATATTCATTTTTTCAGTTTAAGATACTCATTTTTCATATATATTTATTTTTGTTATATTTTATTTTTAGGTTTCATTATATATTTATTTTTTAATTTTCAGATTAATTTTTATGACAATAAAATTTCTTATGAAAATTCTCATAAATAATAATAATTATTATTTAAATTAAAAAAAAAAATTTTAATAAATTTATTCTAAAAATATATTTAATTTGAAATACTTGAAATATAATATTAAATTATTATATTTTTTTATTTCTTTGTTATATATAAATTAAAAGTTTATAAAAGATATAACAATTTTTTTTTAAGACATGATAAGAATAGAATTGAAAAATCCTAATTAGTTTTTAATTAATCCTGAATAATTTAATAATTTTAAAGATTAATTTTTGTTTAAATAATATTTTTATAATAGTTTTTTAATTAAAATTACTTATTAAAATAAATTGAAATTTTCTTTTAATTTAAATTTTTTTTAAAAAATATTAGATTTGATTAGAACTTAAATCTTAAAATCAAATTCTGAATTAAATAAAATTTTAATTTTAAATTGTTTTATTTAAATTAATAAATAAATTTATTTATTTTAATTATTTTAATTATTATTAAAAAAATATAATTAATAATATATTAATAAAATTTTTTTAAATCTTTAAAATTAATTATAATCTTTTAGAATTTTATCAAACTTAGATAAGAATCAACTCATGTGATATATATTTTTCTTTAATTTAATTGATTAATTTAAAAAATATTAATTATTTAATGATTATTTAATACATTATTAATTAATCATATTTTATATATATATATAAATTTATTTTTTATAATTTTACGCTTATTATTTTACATTTACGTAAAATTTTTAAATAAAAATTTATAAAAAAATAATGCTTTATAATACATTAAAGATTATTTTAACTAAGTAATTCTTTTAAGTAAAAATTACATTATATAAAAAAATCTTGAATAAATAACTTATTAAAGAATCAAGTATTACATACTTTTAAAATAAAATTAGAAAATATAATGAAAAATTATCTGTTTATAAAAGAAGGATTATAATTTTTAAATCCAAAATTGTTTTAGAAGTTATTAATATAATAAAGTTTTAAAATTTAGGTTAGTATTAAGTATTTATTGTCAAAATATTATTTAAAAATAAATGAATAAAGATAAGCTTTTGAAATAAGATAAAAAAAAGAAAACTTCATATAATGTAAAAATCTTCTAATACTTTTATAGAAATAAATTACTTGTTATTATATAAATAGTTTAAGACATCTAAAATAAGAAATTTATATTCATTACTAGTAGAATCTCATATAATTTAGAAGTTCATTTTTTCTACAAATATAATAGTAAGTCTTTATATTATTTTACTTTAATATGATTTATATCTAGTATTGTATGTTTATGTAAATGAGTAGTTCTGAGTCAAAAATATCCAATGTTTTAAAGCATAGAAATATATATATTTATTCTTTTTGTTTTATACTATATATAAATATTATTTTACATTTTTAATATACAGTGGCCCACAAAAGAAACGCAAGTGTGATTGGTTACCTTTGAACGGCTATAACTCATCAACCACAAATGCTAGAAACATGATCTTGTACTTGTTTTAATGCCCAAATCTTGAATTATATCCTGGCGAATTTTTTTTTTTTTTTTTTTTTTTTTAGTGCGGCAGTTTTGCATGATCTTTATTAAATTTATAAAATACTAGGTACATATAATAAAACAGAAAATACAAAAATATCTATAATATAATTTATAAACTAAACTACTTTATCAATACCAACCTTGCACTTTACCGAACTAAACTATAAACAGAAAAGAAAAGAAAAGAAAACTTAACCAAACTAAACTATTGTACAGCTATCAAACGTCCGGAAGGGAGGGCGTGGTTACTGCCGTTCCAAAAATTTGACCAGTGAGAGCCATAGGCGGTAGCCGCTATAAAGGAATGTGGGTTTAAAGTTGTGGGAATAGGAGAGGAATGTGGGAAACCAGAGGAAACCCAAGGGGTTGTATAATCGTCTTCAATGTTATTGGCAATTATCCATTCATTAAGAGCAATGTTTCTATTCTTCCATATCTCATAACAAGATGTGGAAAAATCATGGTAAAGAGATGATAGTAAACCATGTGAAAGAGTTGCTGTAGACACACATGCAGTAACTTTATTTGAAAGTGATGAGGGTATAATTCCTTTGAGTAAGTCGATGATCCAAAAATTAGTTGAAGAGGGTATTGAAGTCCAAATAGTATCTGACCATATGTCTTGAATTAAAGAATCGTCCTCTAGGGTATTCAATTCTTGAAGTTGAGTGATAAATGAGATTTTGTGTTTAGCAACAATGTCATGTAAAGGTGGGATGTTCTCAGAACATAGCCAAATGTGTTCAAAATCTTCATTGGAAGAGTGACAACGGAAGCATTGTGCAGAAGTATATATGTTAGGAATGCGAGCGTGAATTACTTCTAAGGTAGGAAGCATTTGGAGCAACATTTTAATTTTGAATTTCTTTTTGAAACATCCTGTAAAGGACGTTTTACAAGACGATTCTTCATTATTGAGGATCTTGAATAGGAGAGGCCAGTCAATTGATTTATTACGGTATAGCTGTAGGTGTGGTAGAGACAATAGGGACTCGGCCCAAACAGCTTGTATTTTGTTTTTGATAAACAGACGATGAGGTGCTATAATAGGAGACGAAAGGTGGCAAAGATAATAACCTGGACCTAAATGGTC